TCCAATAAATCCACTATCGATTGATAATACACCACCAGGACCAGGACTGACTGCTTCGTGCTTTTGAATTTTTTTTCTGATAATTTAGGAAACTTTACAAAAAATTTCCGGGTACTTTGCAAAGTAGTGGGGGGGTTTTAATTTGTCCCCAGTTATTCCTAAACTTCCAGAGTGGGTTAATATTATATATTTAAATAAAAAAAGCCTTTTCTTAGCTCTTTCGAATTTGATAAAATCATTTGGAAGAGAGTGAATAATTGGCAATAAAAAACGGGGAAATAAATAAATCTACTCCAGAGGTCCCCTAATGATCTGTGATAAATTCCAACCTCCCAGCGCGTTCACCCTCACCTCTCAGCGTTATTTTGATCAACTAGCGGCTGCAAGTTGGTTATATCAGACCTGATCTCAACATTTTTTTATCATTTTTTCGGTTTGTGTTTTACAGATATTGCAGAACTTCGTGACGCATTAGTAGCAGACCAACTTGCTCATAAATGTACAGCTCTTTTTGCACCAAATATCCATAATACCAAGCTACCAGGTTGGTACATGTATGCTTTCTTGAATGTTCCAATTACCACCCATCCCCTTACCTAATTATTGTGGATTGAATTGTTGTAAAAAGATTTCGAAAAATTCGTACCATCATAAATTATCTCCTCGCGTATCATTTCACTGTCAATTGTAAGTCATCAAATATTATTTGTCTCATTTTGTGTACTATTTCTTCGATATAACCGTTGCTAATGGGGTTTCATTAATGGTAACAACATTCATCGATAATTGATGATTATGGAGAAGACTATAGAATTTTTTCCGAAAATTCATAGAACAAAATTGCATGCCAGAAGATGTGTACGTTGATCCACCGATTGAAGTTCATTCTGAGCTAAAGAACAATCCCAAAGTGCCCTCCTCTTCCATTCCTCTTCCACCCTCTTCAATTCCTAGAAGTACATATAAACGATATCGTCGATCGGGTAGGTATGTTCTAGTACAATGCGGGTATTCGTACACATGGTACACCAAGAAAATATTGTAGTATGTGATGTAATACCATGACTTTATATGATAATGAAATTCTCAAATGAAACTGAAATATAGCGCCTCAATCACATTAGGAGGAGCTTTATCCAACCTCACTTCATTCAAAATGACTTCAGAAAATTTCCGCAACTCAAATCTTGCCTGATCAAGCCAAAATTAACTCAATACCAATAAAGGCAATTCATTTGATGAAACTCTTATAAAGTCATGGTACTGATTTGCTGCAGAAAATTTTGAAGTTATCGTGAATCACATTTTTTTGGAATAATGATTGAACAATACTCTAGAGTTTTGATGCATAAACATTACGCATAGTGTGGTATAGTGGCACGATCATGGCCACGAATAGTGAAGATCCTAAGTAATTATATACAATTATCGCGGAAAAGAAAATTAACCGCCATCTAGTATTCATGAAAAATATTTACTTTACATTGGATTGTGATAGATTAAACGTATTTCATATAATATCTAGATACTTGATGAAGAATCATTGTTTATAATAAAATGCAATACAGATAAATGATTGAGGAAATTTCAATTTCCAAGCCCGTTCCGAGTTCCTCTTCCACATCCAACAATTTTCTTCGACTTCAATGGAAACATGAACGAATTCGTCCTTAATTTATTTCATCCAAAGTTTAGATAATAATAATTCTCTTACAGTAAAAATATGCATAATGAATTCAATGTGACCGATAACTATTTACAATTTGCCATATCATACTTAATAATCTTTCAAGATTTTCGTGAATATATATGAGATATGTTTTTTAGTATCTGATCCTTTACCCCCTTTCCACGTCATCAATAAAAAATCAGAATTTCGAAGCTTGCACCCGTTTACTTAGCTCGTTATAATTTTTCTCTTTATTTACCATATGATTGAAAGAAAGATAAGAAATGGAGACAGGCGATTCTCGTTGCACCATAACAGGAGATTATGGAACACCAATATTTACCCCCATACCTAGGTACTCATCGTGCTGATATATTTTTTTATCTTTCTACGGATCACTCATTTTTCACACTGTTTGCTTTCCATTGCCTGCACTTGTGAATGAACAACTGACTGTTTCTCTGTATTAAGCTCAAACACTCATTTATACTTTTCCAGATACGCATATTATCACGATCAGTTTTTTAGTGCGTGGAGAATATAAATTTTTTTTCATATATTTGTCGTGAGTGAATTATAATGATGTTTATAATTTCATGCCGAAGCGGAGTCTTTCCGACAGAAAACTTGCGTGAAGCGCCACTTTGTGCACTTGTACCAAAAATAGATATTTCATTCTCACAAGTCCAATGTTTTCAAAGGAAATGTACGCCTATTCACGACACCTATGCTTCATCGCAGGGTTAACATTCGGGCTTCACTCGTACTCTAATAAGCTAATGTTTCGTCCCCCGCACGTAGTTCAATTCCCGGCACGCACTATTCCGTCCTATGGTTTTTCAAAATACCTCCATAACGGAAGTACGAGGCGAGTATGGAGACCCTTATGGCTTCATAATGAAGCTTTTAACTACGCAATACTTCCTACAATATTCTTAGTTATGCAAGTGCTTTAAAGGCCTTCATCATATCAAGAATATGTGTGTGGTTGTCTAAATATACATATACCTAGTCTTTCAGGTTTATCAGTGCATTCTGCATGAATCTTCTTATCGCCAATTATCCAACTTTTCTGTTTTACGACGTTTTCGACTACACCGACTATGCTATTCATAATACCCTTCCTCATTGATTTTTTTTCCTCCCAACAGTTGCTGTACAGCGAATGACAGTGAAAAAACGGAAGAAATGGGATTGAGTGGAGTGCCTATAACAGAGCGAGAAAAAATAATCGCACAGGAGTCTAGGAAAAAGCAACGGGATCTTCAAAAACAGATTGAGCATTTACAACAAGAGAAGGACGCTCTGAAGAAATTGTGTCACGACGACGATTATTGCTCTCTATTGGAGGGCATTGAGTCATTCACACTTCAACAGTTTCTTGAAGCAGTTCATAGGAATAAAGGCAGATCGAAGAGGGGTCGTCGTTGGACGCTCAAAGATAAACTTACAGACTTATCCATTTATAAACGAGGACCCAAGGCTTATCGATACCTGGCATTTCTGATCCAACTGCCTTCGGAGAAGACAATCCTGCGCTTATTGACGTTCATTCCAATGAATACGGGTATCAATGAAGACGTCTTGGCTCACTTGAAGAGATCAGTTGGAAAGATGGATGCTAAGGATCAGCAGTGTATTTTATTATTCGATGAAATTTCTTTGAAAGAGAGACTCAATTATAATGACAAATCAAAGACTGTGGATGGTTACGAAGATTATGGACATCAGAGCCGAACTAATCGAATCGCTAACAAAGCACTGGTTCTAATGTTACAGGGAGTAGGTCCTCAGCGTTGAAAGCAACCGCTTGCTTTCTATTTCGCAAATGGAACTACACCAACAAAACGACTGGCTGAAATCATCAAGCACGCCGTTGAGGCAGTGGATGGAGGAACGGCACTAAATGTAGTTGCAGCTGTGTGTGATCAGGGGCCAACAAACGTTAGTACGATGGCTGAGTTACAGAAGAACAAGAAAAAACCCAACGATATCCCCGGATCATATTTCCGAGTTAATGAGAAGAAAGTGTATATGATGTTCCTCACTTATTCAAGTCGCTACGAAACAATTTCATTGGAAATTTCAAGAAATGGGAGGATAAAAATACAAATGAGAAGAAGACTAATTATCCAGGAAGTACGTTTGGCTGTAGGAAAAAAGGACAAAATTATGAATACGTCGCTAAGTGGAGACACGTCTTGGAGACTTATCGATTGAATCGAATGCTTCGTTTGAAAATGATGAAACTAAAACGAATTCATCTATTCCTAACAAACAAAGGTAAGATGAAGGTTAAACTAGCGGCAGAAACGCTGAGCAGCTCTGTCGCAAAGTTTATCCGATGTATCTACACCCTTCAAAGAAGTAAGGTATTAATCGGTGGTAACGAAACAGCTCATTTCATAGAAGAGTTGGATCAAATGTTCGATTGGATGAATGGACCTGCGAACAATCGCGATGTTAAAAAAAATCAGAGAACATCAGTCACCCTCCCCTCGAAGCACGTAGAGAAGTGGGCAGAATACAGAGAAAAGATGAAGCACGTAATATTCAAGGGTTGGAATGGGAAGAAGCTCAATGCGAGGTGTGTATCTGGGCTGGTTGATACTCTATCGGTACTCCAAGACTTGTGGATCCATTTGAGGGATAATGTTAAATTTACCACTTTAAATCTACCTCAACTGAATCAAGACTCATTAGAAAATCTGTTTGGGGTGTTGCGACAGCACAGTCCTACTAATTCGAATCTCACTGTCCCTCATTTTATTGCCGCCTTGAAGACATCAATTATCAATGGTTTATCGGCACCTCACAATAAGGGTCAAAATTGCGAAAAGGACGGAGGTCATTTATTGTCAGATTTGCACGACGTCATTGAAAACCGAAGAGACAACTTAACAGACGAAGCTCTTATATCAGTTGATGGAGTTTTCTCTGGTTCGGTGGACCACATCATTGACCAACTGGACGACATAGAATCTGCTACCGATAGTAACGCTCTTCACATCTCTGAAGAAGATGTGAAAATCATCTGGGCGGGAGGGAACACTGAGGAATGTTTAGACGATGGGCTGGAGGGTTTTGAGGATCGTTCTGCTGTGACTCTAGCTTCTCATGCTGCAGAAGCTGTATTAGGGAAGTCTCAATGCTCTGCGTGTCTCACTGCATTTTATGATCAGGGTACGACGGGGAATGACAGCCTGACAGAGAGTTCTGATGAATCTTTTTACGACATCCGTCCAACTAAATAATTAATCGACACAGTGGAACAAGCCATTGAAACCTTCGACTATGAAATAGTGCCCAATGGCGTCTATCATACGAACATAGGAGGTAGATGTGTTGCTAGCCTGACAGTTGCCTGCGATATTCATTGGTTGAATTGTCCAACTCATGGGCCAGATATCCCTGACAAACTGCTGACAGCTCTCACAAAATTTTTGATCACCATTGAGTGCAAGAGGGAGAATGAGAAAATTCAATATCCTGAGCACCAGTCAGCGAATGCCCTCAAAATTGTCCAGCAAGCCGGTCGAGCTAAGTAGTACGTTATAATTTTATTAATTCATCTTTCAATCTTAAGATTACAAATATTTTCTCTATTACTACACAATCGTGAGATATTTGACTCCAACGATCGAGCATAATTACTCCTCCCACTTTTTTGAAGTGACAGCAGATTCTCTTGATAGTTTCACGAGGCATGATTGAAGTTCAACGCTCATTTATGGGACTCAGGAATCATTGAATAATCATTGTAGATGATTAATTCTTAGTGAATTGTTATCTATCGTATCTATGAGGCTTCAGTGAATGCTTCGGTCTCCTTCATAATACACAAGAGTCGTTGACAAAGTCTAAATAATTTCTCCATTCTAAATTATTATTATCTATCGTTATGAAATAGCTCATGATTTCATAAGGCACAACTTAATTTTTATATTTGCCAATGAGACTGAAAAACCATTGATTTATCATTCTGATGATAGTTGTATGTATTCTAAATATTTCAATCGCTCTGAATTTATGTTCATGGTTCTCACATTCCTATAGATTTTCTTTATCATTTCACAAGGCAACAATGGATGCTTTTCTTTGTTCATAAACACGTGAAATCAGTAGGAAATAATTTTGAATAAGTAATTGGCTCTCGTTTGCTGTGTAACATCGTTATAATTGTTGTGACGAGGCACATTATTTATTTTTTATTATTTTTCTACATATTTTTTCCCACTACACACTGCCCCCTAAAAGGTAAACCCCGCCACCGTTGGATACCCCTTCCCTCGATTTTCCCCTCATCGCCCCTCTCCCCCCGCCCCTGGACATCACGAAGATATCAGCCGAAGGAAGACAACAGTTCCGGCCCTACTGGATAACCTGAAGGAGCCGCTGCTCCCCCCCCCAGACCACCCATACAGGGGCCTCAGCAACCCACCGCCCTCGACGATCCTAGCGAGACATCCCTGGATTGTGGCCATCTTCACCACTCACCCGTACTGATTGGCCCCGATTGCTCCCGAATTACAACCCGAAGGACTTCGGCACCTGACGACCCCCACGAATCACGGAGGAAACGAAAAGACCGACACTCGTGTAACCGCTGTCCTGGGCCCTGCCACGTGCGCCCCAAGAGTTGAAGAAACAGTACAAATACCCCGAAGAACCCGTATATTGGACTTTGTGTTCGAGTAAAGAGGATTTTTGGTGCCCGAGCTCATCCCAGCTCTAAATACCGTGCCCCTGGAGTCTGGAAGGAGGAACGAAGGCTCAATCTCTGGAGTCGCTGAAGGACCCGGATTAGACCTTAACTGGAAGTCGTGAGTACGAGTTACCCCCCTCATTTTCCCTCTTGTCCCCACAATATTATCCTTCATACCCCCTAACGGTGAGCCTACACTCTTTTGTTTCTTCCCCATTCAGTTATTATTTTTATATTTAGTCACATTCCCTCGACACGACTAGCTTCTCCCCTTTTTCCTGCATTAGAGTCACTCCCGTCTTACGTGTACAAAAGTTGCCTGGCCTTACCCATAACCCTAGATCCAAGTAAAAGGCATTTCAAGCGTCTTACGACGATCTATCATGTAGATTAATAGAAATATAGATATTCAGTTAATTTTATCCCTCATTTGTCCTCATTATTTAATTGCCCTAAATTCCCCTTTTAGGAAATAATAATAATTAAATATTGAAAGGTCACATTGTTCATATTATATTTATAGGGGAGGGTGGGGCAAAACGGCCCCCCTTCAATTGTCAATAACTTGTGAATGACATTGTGAAAATTCCCAGTTTCAACTTCATTTTGAAGATAATTTTTCATTCTTCAAAACGAGCTCTAACTCATCCCAATCGGATTATTGAATCGGAAAATCACCGGGCCGTTTTGCCCCATCCTCCCCTATGTCATTTGATCTCAACACTCATCTACAAGCCTGAGAAATCATTGTCAAAAGTCAATGAACTCAAGATTGAGGTTTATTTTTTGCTAAATTTTATAAATTTTATCCATTATTGAACAAAATTAAAATATATTTCTTTATTCGTTCATAACTTTAGAAAATCATTCATCGATAGTCATAAATAATGACTGATATGCTGTATATGCTGTATATGAATGAATCAGGGTCTATCGACTCTATACGACAAATTGAAGCCGGAAATGGGTGAAAATTTTTATCCGTAAACAAACAAAAATTCTTATCAACTGTTTTGAGTAATAATAATAATAATAATAATAATAATATTGAGGTTTGTTTTAGAAGAAAAATGTCATTCTTTTAAGAACAATATTTGTTTTCAACTGCCATTACGCAATTTCAATATTTTCAAATGAAAACCTTCATGTCAACATCTGTGAATTGATGGGGTAGAATGAGATTATCTCGTTAATGAGCGGTTTCAGGGAAAAATGTCGAAAGATTTTGTTTGGAGGGAAAACTGAATTTAGGGTGGATTGGGGAAGGGGTAGTGGAAATGCCGGTGAAATACGAACGCACTGAGTCTATAGAAAATATACTGATTTATTCGGTGGAATCGAACCACCTTAGCGTCATTTGTTACACTCTGTTAATTGTCACTGAAATTAATTCAAACTGTTCTGAATTTAACACTGGAGATTTTCTGAATAATATACTGAATAATAGGAGACTGTACTGAGAATTTAAATAGGAGATGTACTGAGAAAACAAAATGTCTCGAACGGGTGATGTACTGACGCTGTTCGGACAACCGAAAGTAGCTTTAGAAAAACGATATACTGCTCGCTCAACTCATTTGCTACGACTCTCTACGACTGACTGACTCTGAGATTCGGTGATTGACTAGGTCTGACCGTTGACCCGAGGTTTCCCGAAGATTTTCGTAAGTGGCCGATCTGTGATCAACCGTTGATGTACTGAATTTTAACTGCGTTTCAAACAGATTTTTTTTGTGGCAAATTTTATCAGCTTCAAAAAAATTCTTTTGACATTTTTGACTAAAGTCACTCGTTTTTAAGATAAAAAATAGTGAACGGGAAAGAAAATGTATTTCTTGATGAAATTTAGGTAACTGCAGATTTTTTTATTCCGAATTTCTTTTTTTGGTGATTAGCTGGGGAATGAGCATTATAACGGGATCGAGTCGTCCACTATTCGATTAATAATGTCGCTGCATTGCTATAATGAAAATCGCAATAAAATAATGTCAAACAATTATTATGGAGAGAGGTAAAATATAATACATAAAATTATACATTTCTGTTACTGGCATTTATCTTAGAAAAGTATGAGTTTTGTTTAATAACAGTGAACAAATCCACTATTATTGTTCTGAATAATTGAGGAGTAATATGGCCTTTAAGAAAGTGATAAAAGTGAATTTCATAATGTAGATTATTCTGGTTATTTTAGTAATATCTTTGTGGAATAGAATTGAAATATTGAAATAATAATGTGAAAAAATCGTGGCGGATTTTGCGGAAGGAAATTATCTAAACGATAAACGTCAGACTTTCTCCCCATTTGAATTCGGCGCGATATGTATGCTCGGCTACGAGGAATCATCACGGGAACGACCGACCTACTCATTCGTGACTTTCCGAGAAATTCGAAAGGGGGGCTTACGGCGGCAAGCAGATCGTCTTTTGTTTTCCGGACGTGGAGATACGCAAATAGAAATTTAACCATTTCCCTCTTGTAATAAAAAATGTCTGCAATAATTGATTGTTCAGTGCTTCGTGGAACCGGTAAGGATACGAATAATTCAGTACTATATTGTTGTCCACAATATTGTTGTAATGGTGATGAAACAATAACGCATCGGCATCGAACCTGATTGAAATATTCCCCTCTGTTTTGTTTATTTTCAAAAAAAGTTGATTGATTATTATTATGTGTCTCTAGAATTGCATTGTTACACAAATTAGGATGATCGAATATTCAATAATAAAAGTCTTTTGTTTAATAATTTTTCACTGATAAAATCTCAAATATCATAGATTGTTACATCCGGTTTGGATCATTTCTGATCGCGATTGTTTTGCAATTTTCGGTCGAGATAGTTTCGGAAAATTGAATAATTTAATCAAGGAATTGAATGAGATGATTTGGTAGATTTAAAAAAAATGATTGACATACCAATTTGAATTCTCGTCCTGATGGACCAATCCCAGACGTGTCTCTAGATTGATCCATCAGGGCAGTATTCGAGTCAATTCCATTTTGTGGTATTATTATCTATGATAACTTTTTTTTGGAATTTCAGATGGTGACGTATTTGTCCACGTACTGGACTTCGCTCGATTCACTGAGGATCCATGTGGAACATCCTGGCTCGTATTTGTCAGAGGAACGGCTGGATCATGGGGCGTGGAAATTATTAAGGCGTTTAAAACTGTAATTCCATGTGGGGAAGTAAGTGGACTGGTTCAAGTGGAAGTCAGTGACCCCATGCAAGAGGAGAGAGTTGACATGTTGAGGGAGGCAATGATCTTTCAGGTATCCGATGCTGCTAGCAAGCAGAAAACCCGAGGAGAAAAAATTGGTGAAGAGGAAATAGTCGTTGAGGGAAAAGAACAAATTTTTACTCTTCTTGTATTCGATGCACATAACTGTATTGAAATCATCCACCATGAAGAAGAAATCGGTGGGGAGGAAATGGCTGCTGGGGGAGAGGTAGAAGAAATTGCTGGGGAGGAAATAGCTGCTGGGGGAGAGGCAGAAGAAATTGGAGAGGAGGGAATGGGAGATGAGGGAGAAGAAGAAGATGACTTTCCGGAAAACTAACTCGGTTGCCCAGACCTGTTTGACACATCTGACACATCTTTGACCTGTTTGGCACTTGACGTGAATTTTGAGATGAATTGAAAATGAAAATAATAAATTTGAAATGATAATAAATGTATTGAGTACTTGTATTTAAAAAAAAAAATTTTCTTCTCGTATACCCTTTCGGGTCTTTACGATTTGTTCCCTTCCCACCCCCCTCAACCCCCTGTACCGCATTTGCCGAAGGGAGGGAAAATCTCATTCGAGGGAAAAACCTGCCCTGGTACAGTCGTCCTTTTGACGGGACTACCGCTCGGCAGTGAAACTGTGAGATTAGAGCGCTATATAAATTTTGACCGCCGGTGCCGGGAAGCGAACCCGGATCATTGGCATACGAGTCTAGCACTCTAACCGCACGGCCACTACCGTCGGTTCTATTGAGTACTTGTATTTGATGAGTTAATTTGCTTGTGACGATGGAATAATCTATGTTTTTTTACAAGAAAATAAATACTTATGTTATAAATACTTACAATTGGATAATTCACTGGGGAGATTTCTGAAAGGTTGAAGGGTCAAGAAAAACAATGAGAAGAATTTTGCAACTTAATGTTATTTTTTGAGTATCTGAACACAATGGAACTGGAGGAATGGAATTCTAGTTGCTGGATGTAAATATCTCGGCAATGAGGGGTTCTTATTATTATTCTTCTTATTTTTTCGAAATTGAAACAATGCTGAAAAAAATATTATTTGTAGGGGAGATCAGGCAAAAATCAGGCAGGTGGGTAAAACGGGATATCAGTGGTTTTGTATTGTTTTTTAGGGCTTTCTCATCGTGCTGAGAGTGGTTGCGGGTAATCTCCAATCCTGGCCAGGCAACTACGGGGTCAAAACACCTAAAATTAATGCCCATTATGGCCATTTTATCCGGTATCCCGGTTTACTCAGCTGTCATTTTCAACTAAAAATTTCGCCTATTTACGATTTCAAAATATAATACAGGAGTCAACAGACCCTGGAATGAATTGATTCCAGATGAATGTAGGTAGTTTTTGAAATTACATAGTTTTTTCATAACGTCGAGAGAGACGATTGAATTTTTAAATTCGTTCAGAAGCCCGTAAAATAATCCATTGATAATTTTGAGGCGTTAATTCTCCGTAAATTTTATTTTTTATTTTTTGATTTGTTCTATTCATCGTTTTGAAATATTTTCCGCTTAATTTCATTATTAAGTGAATGAAATTGACTAAAATTAATTTCTAATAGATTATTTTCAAGTTAAATGAGAATGGTGGATTCTCATTGGTGGCCTGTCGCTAGGGTTTCCCCGTTCGGGTGGTATTGCGATGGAGGGAGTTTTTGCCCTGACAGATTGGTACGATTGCGTTTGTACATGAGCCTTCAGCCAATCAGCGTGAGGGCAAATAAGGATATATTGCGGAGATAGCAGTGACTACCCACTGCTTCATAGCTTTATCTCTTGAATTTTGAATTCAAACTAAACCTTCAAACAGACAAGCAAGTTACATCATCCAAAGTAAAAACAACTGAAAAATGTCCATAATTTGATGTGAATTTTGCTTGAGTGATTCCATTCAATTCGAGTGTAGTTATGACATTCAGTGACAAGTGAAAATTGAAAAAGAAATGTTTCAATCGTTTGTTTTTTCTGCCTATAATATGTCATTTTCCGCCACGAGTGGCGCAATCGGCGGTAGGCAGCTAGCGTATTGTGAAAATTTGGGGGGAAGGGGAAGGCAAGCTGTATTGAATTCTAGATGTATAGCACACGCCCTCCTCCCTAATTTTTAAATGAAATTTTTTCTCAATTTTGCAGTAAAATTTCGCTATCTCCGTTAGTTTTGGAGATATTTTCGAAAAACTCACCGACTCAATTTTTTTGGTTGTGAATTCTCAATGCACACCCTTCTCTCTTCCCCCCCTTAATTTTCGTAAAAATTCGCTATCTCCCATAGTTTCTGAGATATTTTTGAAAAACTCAACGACTCAATTTCTTTGGTTGTGAATTGAGAATTCACAACCAAAGAAATTGAGTCGTGAGTTTGGTTGTGAATTGAGAATTCACAACCAAAAAAAAAAAATTCAGCATTGGTTTTAAAAAATACCAGTTCTTAAAAACAATCCCCAAATTGGTTAACTTTTGTGATCCCACCAAGCATAATACGTAAGAACACGAGTTTTTAACATCTAGAAACTAGTTTCTAAAGCTAATCCACTTTTTTTCTCTGCGGGTGTTCTGAATGGGAATCCATGAGTGCCGATAGTTTGAAGTAGTACCTTTCGATACTAAGGCGCATGAAAAATCTTCTGACGAATATGAGTTTGCAGCACGAGCCGAAGACGAGTGATCCAATCATATGAGTCAGAAAATTTTTCTGCGCCCGTGTGTCGAACAATATTTTTTGTCACGAGAGTGTGCCTGCACTAACGACGACACGCCGCAGGCACACCTGCCTAAAGCACTGCCTTACGACCAGACTGACAGCAAATAATTTATGAGGAAACTGTGTAAATTCGGTGATTTGTTCAAGAGATATGGAGAGTTATTTATTTTCTTCACAAGGTCCACAAAGTATTTTCTGACGAATGTGGCTTTGTAGGCCGAGCCGAAGGCGAGGCCTATAATCACATTCGTCAGAAAATACTTTTAGACCGTGTGATGAATGCAATTTTTCGTCAGAAGGCCCGTAAACCGCGATCAAACCGAGCGAAGTGAGGTTAGAACCCTGGCGAATAAGGATCCATGTTGTAGCATGGATGTAGCATGGATGTGCATGGATGTCATTTTAAGGCGAAAAATGGGCCAAAAATGATTGGAATATAATCAAAAAATTATTTAAATGCTGATAGACAAACAATTGGTCCCAATTAATACCCATTAATAGGTTATTTTGTATAATTAGGAGAAATTATTGATGGTGTGCTGTGTGGTAAAGAAGTTCAGATGCAAGAATGCCGCGAGATGGCGCCAGTGTTAAATTATCGAGTCGGCGG